AACACTAAATTCCAGTAGGAAGTCCCACAATCACTGTGGTCTCTTTCCCCCAAGTAAACAGATTTTCTTTCTTCAGCATGTGGTAGCTGCTGCAGGAATTCTGGATGTGTGGTGCAGGATATTCAAGACTGTCTTTCTTACCCTCTTTAGTGCCTCTTTCCTTAATATGATGTTAAAACCAGGTAGTGTGATTGCTCATCTGATTTCTGGGTGTTAGGAAGGTGCTTTTTGTGTTTGTGGATAGTTGTTCAATTTGATGTTCTGGTGTGTATCTACTCAGCCATCTTGCTCCACCTTTTTCTGTCACATGTAGTTTGATATAGATTAATTTGATTATATAGATCGCCTTAGGTAGTATGGCCATTTTAACAATATTAAGTTTTCTCATCCATGGACATGGGCTATTTTTCCATTTGTTTGTATCCTCTTCACAGTTTCTTTCATCAGTGTTTTGTAGTTTTGGTTTATTCCTAAATAATTCTTGTAGCTATTGTAAATGGGACTGAATTGATTTCTTTTTCAGCTAGTTCATTGTTTGTGTGCAGAAACACTTACAACTTTTTGAGTTTTGATTTTGTATACTGCTACTTTACTGTATATTATTTTATTCATTCTAACATTTTTTAGTGGATTCTTTAGGTTTCTCTCTATATAAGACCATGTCATCTGCAAATACAGGCTTTCCAATTTGGATGTCCTTATTTTTTTTCTCTTGCCTAAAATTGCTCTGGTTAGAACTTCCAGTATTATGTAGAATGAGAGTGGTGAGAGTGGGTATTCTTACCTTGTTCCAGTTCTTAGACAAAAAGATTTCAGTTTTTCCCCATTCTGAGCAGTGGGTTTATCATATATAGCCTTCATTGTGTTGAGGTACTTTCTTTCTATAACCAATTTATTGACAGTTTTTATCATAAAAGGATGCTGATCTTTATAAAATGCCTTTTCTGCAGCTATTGAGATGATCATATGGTTTTTGTCCTTAATTCTGATAATGTAATATATCGCATTTATTGATTTGCATATCTTGAACCATCTTCACATTCCTGGGATAAATTCCATTTGATCACAGTGTATTATCTTTTTGATATGTTGTTGGTTTTCATTTGTTGGTATTTTCTTGAGGACTTTTGCATCTATGTTCATCAGAAATATTGGCTTGCAGTTTTGTTGTTGTTGTTGTTGTTGTGTTCTTGTCTGGTTTGGTATCAGAGTTATGCTGGCCTCGTAAAATCAGTTAGGAAGAGTTCCTGCCTTGTAAAAAAATGTTTGGGGAATAGTATGAGAAGAATTTTCATTAATTTCTCTTTAATGTTTTTTTTTTTAAGTTCTAAACCTTTTAAATTCTCCTGGAAGCCTCTCATCCCTACTCTATAATTGTAAAAAGGAAACAAATTAGCACAGAAATCAAAAAGTTTCTATGTTCATCTAAAAATATCTTATGCTGTACATAAGATAATTGGCCATAGCATACAAATGAAAATTCAAAAAAAATATTTTAGCTGGGTGGAAATATGTTACCCTGTTTGTTTTTACTTTCCATAAAAATAATTAACTGCTAACTTTCAAGCTAATATGGAGTTTAAGGGTCCTTTTAGACATGTATGAGTGAGGTGAGATGTGCAGACATGTGAGGACTTAAAAAAGTTGGGAAAAGGTGTGTGGTGTGTGTGTGTGTTAAGTGATGGTAAGAAGTAAGAATAGTTAAATCTATTAAAGGAAATCTCTAGAGAAAAATAATCATAATATCAGTTAGCTACAACTGTTTTATGTAGAGATAGCTTTCTTAAAAATGTTTGCACCTGGGTGCAGTGGCTTGTATCTGTAGTCCCAGCTACTTGGGGGGCTGAGGTGAGAGGATCACTTGAGCCCAGGTGTCTGAGGCTATAGGGAGCTATGATTGCACCACTGCACTCCAGTCTGGGCAACAGAGAAATACTTCATCTCTCTCTAAAAAAAACTGCATACCCAAAGCCATATTTTTGAAAAAAGAGATCTAAAATATTTGCAAAAAATATCTTCATTAATTTTCTATGTGGATTGCAAATTTCTTAATCAGGATACATTCATCTTGATATTTCTTCATCCTTGTATGAGTGCTATGCACCTTGTGAATGCTCAATTAATATCATCGAATGAAAAAGCAGTTGTATCTAGTAAGCAGTGCTTCTTTTCCGTTCTCACTTCTAGTTCTCATACTGAATTAAAGACAAAGCATTATCTACATTGATATGTGGCTACCAAATTGGCCACAATATTCTTGGATTTTGTATTTCAATGAACAAAATAAATTTTTGATCACTCAATTAGCTCACCCATACAGAAGTGTAATTTAGCCATTAAAGTTATCAACTTATACTAAATTCTTTCATGCTGCAAATTTTTAGTTATATATGCCCAACACAGGAACTGTGAAGTTTTATTTGTTAAATTTGCTGGAATATTCTCTTAAAACTTTCTTCTATCCCTGGTTATTTTATTTTTGTTTTAAGAGATGTGTTTCTTACTATGTTTCCATATCAACAGTCAAACTCCTGGGCTCAATTGATCCTCCTACCTCATCCTCCCCAGTAGCTGAGACTACAGGTACGTGCCACTATGCCAGGCTATCCCTGGTTCTATGAGCATGACTCCCAAAAAACTTGTTGCAGAGAAGGTCCCTGTTTGAAGCAGACAAAATTTTGATGTGGCAATATGGTTGTATTAAAAAGTCTACCTCCACATTCCAGTATTGTAACATGGTGAATTCTGAGTACGTGTGGAACAGTTTTCGGCTTCTCCACAGTTAAAGGCTTAAACGTAATCACATAAGATTTCCTAACAGCTATGTGGCATCCCAAAAGGGAGCCACCTTGTGAATCTACTATTTTAAAACCTCCCCTCTCAGATATAAATTCTCTGTGAAATTGATGCTAATATCCACTTGAATAATATATGGAGTTTTCAGAATCATGCATAGCAAGACATCTGTAACATAAGACTATGAATACTACTTGGCAAGATTTGATATTCAGTTGGTATTCATTGTGCTAATATGGATATTTCACAATTGGAGTGAGACAACTGCTAGGAATACAGCATGGTCAGAATGGCTAATGGGCGCATTCAATAAGTAAATGCACAGAAAAAGAAACTTCTTGTCTCTTCTTTAATCATTTCTTTGCTAGTGAGTTCTAATTTATTCCCGTACTAATCTATTACTAAATTGAAAAATATGATTGCCAAGCTCCTTTTTAGAAATATAAAAGCTTAAAAATTTGAGCATTAATTCATGCTTAAACATATTCTTTTATAATATACTTTCTCAGTATGTATAGTTATTGCAGTTTGATATTTAATAAAATTATTTCAAAATGTATTTATTTGAATTTATGGTTATAACACAGCTACATTTGACCCATACTGCCTACATTTGTTATAATAAGCTTAGGACAAAATAATGTAGGCTATAGGATACACAAAATTTGAAAAACTAGAAATAAAAATCAGTATATCAAAAATGTTTTTTCTCTAATAAAATTTATTAGAAAGTTTTATTCTAATAAATAATGTCCTTATCCAATAGGATCTATCCTGTTTGAATAAGATAAAGTCATAGTCATCTGACATAAAAATAAAATAGCAATAGTAATAATGCTAGAAACTCATGATTATCTACAGATGGTTAATCCACACACTTTGGCGTCTAACTCAGCTAGATAAAGGCTATGGTCCTATTTTTCAAGGAACTCAATATCGCTTTTTTTTTTTCACCAAATGGCAAAATAATTGTGTTAAGATTAATCACTGGCAAATGTATTATCAAAAAACTATCAACATCGAAGGCAGAATATCTTAGATAATACCCACTCAAAGATAGATGTTAAAACAGCTATCCTTCTACTAAATAAAATAGGACTTATTCAGCTAGCAGTTCTACTTGTGTTGTCACCAGACCTGTCAATCATTCAAAAGATAAGGAAATTCACAGTTCTATAAAATAACGAGGCCAATTCTTATAAGGTAAACAAAAAAAATTAGCTTCATTATGTTATTATCACAGTCCTATTGTGACTGTAGTAAAGAGTTGATGTAAACAGTGTTATAAAGGATGAGTTCATGTCCTTTGCAGGGACATGGATGAAGCTGGAAACCATCATTCTGAGCAAACTATCGCAAGGAGAGAAAACCAAACACCGCATGTTCTCACTCATAGGTGCGAATTAAACAAAATGAGAACACTTGGACACAGGATGGGGAACATCACACACCGGGGCCTGTGGTGGGGTTGAGGGAGGCGGGAGGGATAGCATTAGGAGATATACCTAATGTAAATGACAAGTTAATGGGTGCAGCACACCAACATGGCACGTGTATACATATGTAACAAACCTGCACGTTGTGCACATGTATCCTAGACCTTAAAGTATAATTAAAAAAAAAAAAAATTTAAAAAGTCTATTACTTATGCAATTGTGTAATATCGTGTATTCTAGAAGACAATACTTCTATACACATAATATTTAAATCAATCTGACATTTATTTTCTCAAAGTTTTATTTCATTTTAAATTGACACATAATAACTGTGCATATTTAATGGGTACATTTTGATATTGTGATACATGCATACACTGTATATGATCAAATCAGGGTACTTAGCTTATCCATCACCTCAAACAATTATCATTTCTTTTTTTTCTTTGTTCCCACACTACACAGATGTAACAATGATCATTTCTTTGTGATGAGAACATTCAGAATCCTCTTTTGTAGTTACAGTTGACCCTTTAACAATGTGGGGGTTATGAGCACTGACACCATGTGCAATAGAAAATCTGTGTATAACTTTTGATTTCTCAAAAACTTAACTACTAATAGCCTACTGTTGACTAGAAGCCTTGCTGATAACATAAACAGTTGATTAACACATATTCCATGTTATATGTGTTATATACTGTATTCTTACAGTAAAGTAAGCTAGAGAAAAAAAATGTTATCAAGAAAATCATAAGGAAGATAAAATGTATTTACTACTCATTAAGTGGAAATGGATCATCATAAAGATCTTCATCCTTGTCTTCATGTTGAGTAGGCTGAGGAGGAGGAAGAGAAGGGGTTGGTCTTGTTGTCTCAGAGATGGCAGAGGTGGAAGAAAATCTGTGTAAAAGTGGACAGGCACAGTTCAAACCAGAATTGTTCAAGGTTCAACTGTATATTTACTATAAATACTTAACAGTTTAATCCACTGAAAACCTAATCTGTCTCAGTAAAAGAGACCATTACCCACCCAAGTTATACAAGACAGAAACATGGACTTGATCCTTGAGTATTCTCTCTTCCTCACTTGGTGTATCAATTATCACATCCCATCTGTTAGCTCTTCATATTTCTTAAATCCATCAATTGTCTCCATCTCTACTGCTACCGTCTTAGCTCAATCACCCTTCATCTTTTCCCTTGTCTATTACCACAGCCTTTTAGGTGGACTATAAATTTCTGGTTTTGTCCTGTCTCAAGTTTCACCATTCATTCTCCATGGTGGATCCAGCATGACTTTTCCAAAACATAAATAGAATCTTGTTACTTCCGTGAGTAAAAACTTTTTAATTGTGCTCAGTAACCTATAGGATGAAAACTGTATTTTTTGGCGTGTCTCATAAAGCCTTTCCTGCTTGCCCCCTGCCTTCTTTGCCAACCTCATTTTCCATGCCTTCTCTTCGCCCCCCAATATCCTGTATTCTAATCATTTCAAGGTACTTGGAGTTCCAAAAACACTCCCTACATTTTCACACTTTCCATATTTTACACATGTTCTTTTTTCTGCCTTTATGCCCTCACTTTCCTTTGGTCCCTACTCCCACATACCTGAAAAACTCATATTTGTTCTTCCAAGCTTAGATAAAAAAACACATCCTTTGTAGAATATTTCACTGATGAAGTCAAGCAGTCATTTGCTTTGTCCACTTGCTTCCACAGCACCTCATATACACTCACTCCCCCCAATACTGCATAGTACATTGAATTATAAAAATATGTAAATCCATATTCCCCATTAGTTTTTGAGCTATTTAAGGGCAGAAATTGTGTTATATTCTTTTCTTTATCCCTAGTATTTAGCAGACTGCCTAATATCTAATAAGGTCTCAAAAAGCATACATTATTTGACTACTTATAGATGACATTTGGTAAATGAATTACAGATAATATACCAGAAATAAAACATTTATGTGTATTTTAAAAATCACATACAGAAGTTTTAATCTTAAGTGTTTAATCTCACTCTACTCTTGATTATTGCTCTCTAAAAGTGGAAAAATCAAAGCTAGAAATACTACAACAGTTTTAGTTAAATGAAAGTTGTGGTTGTGTCTATAATGGGAGTTAAGTACTTTTTTTTAATTATACTTTAAGTTCTAGGGTACATGTACATAACGTGCAGGTTAAGATATGCAAATATCAGGGAATAATGGTACTATATATTCCATTTCATTCATTCAACAGATATTGTTTACCTAATTGATTCCTGTTACTGTACAAATTGCTAGAGATAAAAAATATATGATTATATCATAGTACTCAAACTCATAGTCTAATGGGAAGAAAAAATGATGACAGTACAATGTGTTCAACACTGTAAGAGGGTAAGTCACAGGATGCTATGTGAATTCATATGTGCCTAACCCAGGAAATGTTAAGGAAGGCATTTCAAATATAAGTATCAGCTACCCAGGCGAAGAAGAAGGATAGATAATCCAGGCAATGGCAAGAGTCTGTGAAAACCCATTAAAGTGAGTGCAAGTGTGTCTTATTTGAAGACTGCCCACTATATATATTCATGTTTCAACACATCTAGAACATAGAGGGCATGGTCCAGTCAAACACATTTTTTTTAAGCTTATATTTTAGGTTCAGAGGTACCTGTGAAGGTTTGTTACATAGGTGAACTTGTGTCATGATGGTTTGTTGTATAGATTATTTCATCACCCAGGTACTAAGTCCAGCACTCAATCGTTATCTTTTCTGCTCCTCTCTGTCCTCCCAGCCTCCACCCTTAACTAGAATTCAGTATCTGTTGTTCCCTTCTTTGTGTTCATAGGTTATCATCATTTAGCTCCCACTTATAAGTGAGAATATGTGGTCTTTGGCTTTCTGTTCTTGCATTAGTTTGCTAAGAATAATGGCCTTCAGCTCCACCCATGTTCCCACAAAAGACAAATCTCAATCTTTTTATTACTGCATAGTATTCCATGGTGTATATATGCCACATTTTCTTTATACAATCTGTCATTGGTGGGCATTTAAGTTGATTCTATGTCTTTGCTATTGTGAACAATGTTGCAATAAACGTTTGTGTGCATGGGTCTTTATGGTAGGATGATTTATATTCTTCTGGGTATATAGCCAGAAATGGGACTGGTAGGTCAAATGGTAGTGCTCTTTGAGGAATAACCATACTTCTTTCCACAATGGTTGAACTAATTTACACTTCCACCAACAGTATATAAGTGTTCCCTTTTCTCTACAACCTTTCCAGCATCTGTTATTTCAAAGACTTTTCTAAGTCATGATAAGAAATTTTATTCTGAAGACAGTGGCAGGTGGTAGGCAGTTGGAGAGGAGAATTGAAGGATTTTGAAAAGAAGAGTGCTGTGATCAGATCTGCATTTTAGAAATATCACTGGTTAACTTGTACAAAATGTATGGAAGTGGAGGAAACAGTTCACAAGATTGGAGACACAGACACCAGTTACAGTCAAGGCAAGATGTGATCACGGCCCAGTAGTAATAACTCAGTAGTAACAGAGGTGAAAAAATGTATTTAAAATATAGAATTGACAGGTATGAGAGACTGTGTAGAGGGGTGTCCAGAATACAGTCTTAGTTCTCTGATTTGGATTACTGGGTAGTTTGGTAATACCACTCACTATGTCTGGGCATGTCTTAAGAAATCACAGATTTAAAACTTAAATATTTTATCAAAAATAACATTTGTTTTCTTGAGGGCATGTTAACATAAACCTTCTTTCTTTAAATGCTGGCTTTCTGATTCTTCTGACTCTACATCAGATTTATGTCTCAGTATAACACATTATTTCACCTATCTTTTTAAAATTTTTGTAACTTTCAGAAATAAATTTATAAGATCAAAAAAAAAAAAAAAGAAGAGGACAATATTCACAACAACAAAGACTTGGAACCAACCCAAATGTCCATCAATTATAGACTGGATAAAGAAGATGAGGCACATATACACCATGGAATACTATGCAGCCATAAAAAAGGATGAGTTCATGTCCTTTGCAGGGACATGGATGAAGCTGGAAACCATCATCCTCAGCAAACTATCACAAGAACAGAAAACCAAACACTGCATGTTCTCCCTCGTAAGTGGGAGTTGAACAATGAGAACACATGGACACAGGGAGGGGAACATACCATACTGGGGCCTATCAGGGGGTGGAGGGGGGTAGGGGAGGGATAGCATTAGGAGAAATACCTAATGTAGTTGATGAGTTGACGGGTACAGCAAACCCCCATGGCACGTGTATACCTATGTAACAAAACTGCACGTTCTGCACATGTACTCCAGATCTTAAAGCATATATATATATATATATATACACACACACACACACACATATATACACACACACATATACACACACACACACACAACAGTTTTGACCCTGTTTGGAGGACTTGTGTATCATAAGGATGGAGACATACAGTAGGTAGGTGGAGACATACAGTAGGTCTGCAGCTTAGGAAAAAGGCCTTAGCTATAAATACTCACTTAGAAGATATCATCATAGAAATGGTAGTTAAAACCATGGGAGTAAATAACTCTCAAATCTCTGCTTTTGGTCAAGACTTTTTTTCTGGGCTCTAGACTAAGACTGAGCACATATTTTCAGTGGAGTGGTGGAGGACAGAAAGCAGGCAGTGGTAGACTGGGAAGAGAGTGGGTGGTAAAAAAGTGGAAGTAGTGTAGTTCACATTTTTAGAAGATGTGTGAACAGTGTGAAGAGTCCCCAAAAGAGAGTTATTGATGGAGAAAATTTACAATCAAAGAGTTGTTGAGGGGAGGTGGGACTCAAAAAGAAGGACATATTTTGGATTAGAACTGGAAACAAACAATGAAGAAGTAATCTGGATAAAAATAGGCTGGGCGCAGTGGCTCACGCCTGTAATCCCAGCACTTTGGGAGGCTGAGGTGGGTGGATCACCTGAGGTCAGGGGTTCAAGACCAGTCTGGCCAACATGGTGAAACCTCGTCTCTACTGAAAATACAAAAATTAGCTGGGTGTGGTGGCAGGCGCTTATAATCCTAGCTATTCAGGAGGCTGAGGCAGGAGAATTGCTTGAACCCAGGAGGTGGAGGGTGCAGTGAGCCAAAATTGCCTGGGCGACAAGAGCAAGATTCCGTCTTTAATAATAATAATAATGATAATAATAATAATAATAATTTTGTCTATGGGGATTCAAAACATTTAGAGCACTTCAGAACTGCATTTGACAAAAGATCACTATGACAATATGTGACAATTGAATTGGAGGTTGAATTAATTCATAAGTGTGTGCATTCCTCAAGGCTGGGGGGAAATACCAAGGTTTCAGCTCTTAAAGGAAGAAACAGAGCACACCAAAACACATTCCTATAAATCCACACCAGCCATGGAGTTGAATGTAACCTCAGTTTATACTGAGCCTGTGGTTGAAATTGAGCAGGATACAAGATCAAGATAAAAAAAAAATTAGTTCTATACACTAACAATGAAGAATCCTAAAATGAAATTTAAAAATAGATTCATTTACAATGGTATCAAAATGAATTAACTACTTAGAAATAAATTTAACAAAAAAGTACAAGCTACAAACTACAAAACATTGAAATAAATTAAGGAAGAAATAAAGTCAAATAAAATTGTCGAAATAAAGTAAAGAAGACCGTAATAAATGAAAAGACATCCTGTGTTTATGGATTAAAAGACTTAATATTGTTAAGATGACAATACTACCCAAATTGACATACAGATACAATATGCAAGCCCTATGAAAATCCCAACTGCATTTTTTTGCAGTACACTGTGACTCTAAAATTCATATGCAAATACCAGAGTGCCAGAACAGCCAAAACAATTTTGAAAAAGAGGAAC